TTTTTCAGCAACTTGTGCATTGCACTTCAGCCACGCGAGTGAAACACTTGTTAAACAATACAAGTCACCGGACCCTTTCGCCTTGCTGTTCCATCACCGTCCTTCCCATCGTGGCAATTGAGTCTAACTGAAAACCCAAGTTCGAAGTGTGTATGTGTTTTTTTCTAGATGATTTTGGCAGGGAGCGTCGACATCTCTTCGACCCCTTCGACCCACCCGGTCTCGGGAAACCACCGGCCTCGGGAGACCGCCGGGCAAGCCACGACATGGGACCAGCCGGAGGGTGGAAGATCTGCGGAGACCGGGGCAGCGGAGAGAACAGCCATGCATGGCGGAGACAAGGGAACAAACATGATCTCTTAGTGACACACTCTTAGTGACATCAGTGTCATGGCTTGGAAGGGAACATGGTTAACATGAGATAGTGAGTTAACATACTGTAGTGACAGATTCAAGGGCTATGTGGGTATGTGTGAGGTATCAATTATTGAATTGCGTTCCGTGGGGCCGGATGATGATGGTTGTAGCAGGCCTTTCCATCTCAGTCTCATATAATATGTTGTCGTTAACAGCTATTGGGACACCTGTTTAGTCTAGTTCTGTGGTGTTTCGCTCCGCCTCGCTGCTGCTGGGGAACGGGCCAAACAAGAAATGCCAAGTGGCTGGAGGGACCAACATGCGAGGTGCTTTGAAGATCGTTAGTGACTAGTGGGCTTCAGGGGGGGGTCAATGGCATCAAATGGGCGATTCAAGGCCGTTCCTGGCATAGAAATGAGTGTGGTTGACCTGGAGTCAATCTAGGTAAATACACTGGCCTGAAGTATGCCAGTCCCATGGAGTGTCTGGGGAAGGTCGTCAGGGTCATCCTGGGGACGACCCAAGCTTGTTCACCCAACACCTAAAATGGACGAGCTGAGTGCACCCATGATGAGCCACCCTGTTTAGAGTTGTTTGTTCAGTCGCTTGGTTCAAATTCATTCAAGTTTGCCTGGACCTTGAAAGGGGTGTTCAATGAAGACGCCTTTGGGTCGTGCAAAGAAGTCCTCATAAGGAAGTTGCTCGTCTTGTTGCTAGTCCGACAATCACTCCCAGCTCTCGCCTTCTCTCGTGGTGGACCGGAACGTGTTCCCGGCTCCGGAAGGCTCCGCTCGTTGCAGTGGCAAGCTTGCTCGATCTATATGACTGACGGTGATTGGACCTGTGAGTCCATCTGCCAAGAAACACAAGAAGGTGACTGAGCTCGACTAGGAACCAGTCTACCCTTTGTGGTCGGGTTTCACTGGCGACCTCTGGGATCACACAGGTTGGGATGTGGTTCACAGCACGGAGCATGGACACACATCTGGTCATCTGGTTGGATGATCTATTCATGTGTAGTTTCGAAATGAAGTCAACATCAGTCTGAGTCGACATCTACGAGCTTCGGCCGTTCCAGAACGTCCCAAATGTCCCATAACTCCCATCACCGTCGTTGCGCCCTGATCAACTCAAACCGGGCCGTCTCAAATCTTCCTGTGACATTCAGTGACATATGCAACCAGAGATACCACGTGAGGCTCTATCTCTATCTCATCATTTTGCAGCCTTGTATCATTTTGCACCGGCCTTTTAATAATGCTACAAGGCACGTTGCTAGGATGTTCAAAACAGTGGTCGTGGTCCTGGCATGGCTCTTGAGCCACATGTTCCTCTGCGCGGAGTTTTTTCTTCATGCAAATTGCCAAGACGTTCCAAGTGTCATAGAAAAACCTCCTGTGAGCTCTGACCTGCTTGTAGACTTAACGCTGCGTTCAAAAGTCATGCCAAACCGTTGGGAAGTACGCTGGAGCGTCGTTCCTTCACATGAAAATACATAAAGAATCGGCACCTTAGGCTGAGCAAATGTTTCTTCCACCAGCCCATGGCCTTGGAGAAAATGTATTCTAACAGGGGTGCCCCCAAGACAAACAAGTGTGCAGGGCGATCCACTTTTCAGATACCCTAGGGCTCCAGTCGTACCTCCAAACCGGTTCGGTATGATCTGGACCCTCTAACCTCCTGGCACCCACCCCAGTCCCACCGAACCGAAACGATACGCTACGACAACGGAGCCCGGTACCGGGGATTCGGAGCTACCCAATGGACCCTTCCGACAGGGTCCGAACTTCCCGATCCACCGGTTTGACCCGGTTCGGGTCGTCGGACCCCCGGTTTCGGGGTTCGTTGAGGCCAGCTAACCCCTCTAAGGACTACGGATCCAAGCACCTTTTGATTCCTGATTCCCTACAAGTACCAAGTCAGTCCTTGTGTGGATGTGCGAAAACGGGTCTGATTCCTGCATGTACACAATCCATCCACCTGGGGATCCATTTGGTTTTCTGCCAACGAAAGGGACATTCCGATCACTTGAGTCACCCGGGCCGGAACCCACCGGTGCCAGCCGTACCAATGTCCTGGCCAGCCCCAGGAGTTGGGTGGTTAATGGACACCCCTTCTTCACAGCTTTTTGGGGCTATCAATAGACACCCCGACAGGGTCCTGGTATAAGTGAGTTGCTAACTTATGTGTCTATATATATGAAGTTATATCAACATATTATAATTATATATGCATGAATATCATACACAGTAACATCTCATGCTACAGCATCTAACCAAATAAGTCATCTGCCTACTCAACCCCAACCTGGAGAGCTAGAACACAATGGAATCTATAGATTTGCCCACATTAATACCTCACGGTGGAACAGCAAGTGCGCTACATTGCAGGTGCTCCACAGACTTCGCTGTGCTACTTCTTCCTCATCCTCACTCATCTCACCCACGTGTCTGTCGACGTCTGTTCATCCGAATCCCAAAACAATCCACGAGACTTAGATTTGGGTGGTTTTAAAGTATTTGAGGATCTCTAAAACCACCCAAATATGTTGCATTTTGGAATATGTTTCAAGATCTTCGAAGGGTCAATGTAACATATTCCATTCCCATATGGATGGTTACAGTAAAGAACTTCCGTTCCATGCTTCGCTTCATTTTTCCGACGAGTCGGGGTCGGTCGCTGGTGTCTTTGTCATGCCAGCCTGGCGCCGTGTCTTCCGCGTGGGCGAGGCTGTGGGAGGCTGGACCGGGAGGAAGAATCGGAATAGCTCGGGGTTGGAACACCCAATGCGAGCTCCCTGAAAGACTCATGGAAGTGGAGTTCCCCACCTGTTTGAAGTTTGGAAAATGGTCATCCTTTCAGGCAATGCCATCCACTTCCATCATGATTTTGGGGAGTGTACACCCAGCATCCCTTGACTCAGTCCTTCCATGTGGCTTATACAAAGCTGACTGAGATTGGCTTCGCCAGCTCCAAGAAAGGTTAATAGTATATCGCAAACGCTCCTTGGTCCCTCAAAACCTAGGGATTTGAGACCCTAGACTCCAGACCCCTCCGTATGAGGGACCAATCCCTCCATATATGAGGGTCCAGGAGTGTCTGGGATACACGACATACACTCAAAACGAACAACCCAATCATGACAAATCCAACTAGTTGCCATCAGCTGGCCTAATAGAAACTGGAAATCACGGATCAAACTTCCGGAGTCCTCTCAAAGTAGGCCCATCATTGCTCATGATGATCTGAGAGCTATCATATGGAAAACGGCTGCAAAACCATCATCTACATCACATGTGAACCTGATCTTGACACCATTCCTATATCTACTCAATCTACTCTACAACAAACCACCGGCTGCATGCCAGCAATCCCACCCTGTTTCGGAGCCCAAAGACGTCAGCGCCACGTCACGAAACCTCACGGAGCCCGAGACTTGCATCTCGGCTGGTGGGCGATCGATCCCGATCACTACCTAGATCTTAGCACCGGTGCTAGCAACTTATTCAAAAATCTTAGCAATTTCTATGTGGTTGTTCATTTAACCTAGGGATACGTGTTCGTATCTTCGAAAAGGCAAGGTGAGGAAGGAGACACTGAGACATGTAGGTGCCAGGAGGGCCCTCAGAAGGTACGACTGGATGCCTAGGGTTTATAAAACCAACCAAACGGCAAACATGTTGCATAAGTTGGAAAATCTATAGGTATAGAGGTGAACCGAACGTTTTATATGCTACCCGTCCCCCCAAAAGGCTACATTTTTTAACTCTGACGAACACATCGCATGGAAGGGTAGAATGGTCCCTTGGAAGACTACACGTACTTTCTTCCGCCGCGAGCTGAGGGCTTTCACTCTATTTCCATGTGTTCGTCAGAGTGTCATCAAGACCTCTTGGCCGTAGGGCCCTATAGGGCTCCAAGTACCTCCTCAGAAGGTATGGCTGGACACTCCAAACCCACCCCAACCACTTTCTCCCAAGGTACGACTGGAGCCCTAGGGAGGGTAGCTGTGGTGGATACATCCACACATTCCACGACATGGACTTAAAACTCTTGAACCTCAGGTGAACAATGAATTCATGAAGTCTGGTTCACTTCTCTTGATGGACATCCTCTGGCACCACCCAAACACCGCAAATATCCGCAAATCACATTGAGTTTGGCCATCTCAGGGTGGTGCCAGGAGTGCCAGGTGTCTTTTTTTCCCAGCTCAAAGCCCAAGGCCCAAGCCCAAGTGGCGCCCCAGGCGCCCCAGCCAGAGCTATGCAGGAGACTCCTGAGTTTCGTCCAAATCTCCCGCCGCATCGAAACATCAGGATGCGAAGAACGCATGCTGACCCACACTTCGGGATGCACTCCATGGGACGGTGGAATAGTTATTACGGTCCCAAACAAAGCATGAGACGGTGCTTCACATGTGCGTTCCAAGCATTTGGACATTTACATGGAAATGCTTGGATCTGGTGCTCCACATTCTCCTTACATTGGGACGGTTGACCTGGGGTGAATCGGAGCACGGTAAGTCAATATGCCAGTCTAGGGGACGGGTCGTGTCTGGAAAAGTTACTTACATTGGGGGCATGTTCTAGTTGTTCTTTTTGGCCTATCCTATTACCAGTAACTGTGGATGATGATGGTTAGTAGAGGCCTTGTTCAATCCACCTAAGATCACTGGTCATTGGGATTGCTCATCCCTGGCAAAATTTGAACAGCAAGCAAACACATATACCTATAGAAGGCACTTCCTGTTGGGGTGTCCCAATGGAGGCCCTTTGAACTGGTAGTTATCCAATGACGTGACCCCGCTGGAGGCAGCCGGTGTACATAAAAAGGCGCACCTGCACAGGATGATCCAAATCGTCTAGCTGAACAGAATGATGCAGAATGCAACAATATGCAACATGTGAATTTAACCCACCCACGCCCCAAAAACAACAATATCAACCCACAAGTCTCCAAATGCGCAAATGTCACAGCATCTATGGCATGGTTGCCTATGTTGGGTTGGTGCCAGGGGTCTCTGACTCTTATACAACCCAAAAACCTACTCCCCCGCAGGTGAACATGGAACCCCAAAACCATTGAGTTGTAGAGGCAAATGGTCGAAACCACATGTTTGTTTGCGGGAGAGTACAGCAGTACAGCAACTATCTCTCCTGGGAACATCCGAAGGTCACACATTCGCCCTCGGCAGGCCTCGCCTCGCTCCCAGAAGAACCTCATCGGCGTTTCGTCGCGGAACCAGACCAGCCCGGCCAGCCAGTGGCTTGAAGGTCTCCGAAGTAGAATGGGCTTTTGTGTTTCAGAAGCCTTAGCAAATCTTAGCAGGACTACCTTTTGTACCTGCAGCACCTCTAGTATACCTTTTTCTGTCCCAGTCTTTAAAAGTAATCTTTTAAACATATGGACGACAATTGTTGTCCGGGACGTGATCTACCGTAGGCATGGTTTTGAGCCTGTTTTGTATACCTTATGTCCAACTGATGGGCTCTAAATGACCTATATGAATGATGTACAGTGATGTACATATCAAACCTGAGTGTTGAATCACTTGCACTGGTGTGAATGTCCAGTCACATTAGGTCCCAAACAGTTGGGATTCGATGATCTTATACAGTTTATCAATGTTTATCCCATGTGTTTGACATGGCCATGAAGCCACAACATTATTGTTTCTTTCACATGGGTTCCATATCATTGTTGCAGAATGGTAAGCCCTTCAACCTGATCCACTTCACCCGCCACCACCTGTCGTGCCATCAGGTCCCATTCCCGCTCTCATGTCAGGTTTCTTTTGAAGCTTGGCTCGGGGTGAGCTAGGCACTCACGCATTTTGCGTGCATTACAAGGCATCGGGCAAAAGCCTTGGTAAAGCCTGAAATGGATGGTCACTGCGTAAATCAAACATAGCAGTTTCTGCAATGGATCACCACCCACAATTGACAAATGTGGACCCTTCTAGATTTGAACGATGGTGGCAAACCCATACATTCACGGCACAGAGTCCGCGGATGCTGTAGTGAAGTGTAGTGATCTGCACAATGAATGCTTTCTTTATGCACATGGCATGCACAAGCCCTTGTTGGGGCTCCCGGGGCCATGTGCGTTCCCACTGGTGGATGAAGTGTGAATCTGGCTTGTTTGATTTCCCGGCTTTCACCCGAGACCCCCTTGCGCTGGCAGTCGAGCAGTTTTGATTGGCAGCAAAGGTCATTTGGTGGTGCATGAGACAATGATATGTTCATGCTTATAAATTTAAGCTTACCTTTCACGACTGGGACAGTGATAGGTTTATATATATAGGGGTGCTGCAGGTAATTGCATGGTGCCATGCTGAAGCCACTCATCATCCATTCGCCAGTCCTCCGCAAACAGGGGTTTTGGCTGAAGGGTCAGGATTGGGCTGTGGGTAAATGCCACCCAAGGCGATGGCTGTCCGGTCACGAGCCCTCCCATGGGCAATCAAGGATGGGAACGACCATAGCAGCCCAGAGCAGTCCTCACAATCTTCTCCCAAAGTGGTTGGGAACTATGACTTGAAGGATGTTCCAATCCAGTGGGACAATGATCCATCCATCCGGGAAAGGATGCGTGATGGTGAGAACCTTTGCTTGTCTTGGGACAGTGTCACAAACAAGTATGTGTCCAAGTACGTTGACTCCACCACAGAAAATCTGAAGGTCAACATGCCGGTCTTGCGGCCGATTGTTAGTCTCATGAAGGGGAATGAGCTTCAGTTGCCTTCGATCTCCAGTCTCATCGACGCGGTCGATGAACTGTTCAAACTTGCGAAGTTGAATCGAACTTCTGACCACCATTATCAGGAGGCATGGGCCATCAGAAGGATGATCAGCAAATTGAAGAGGTTCACATATCGGACCACACCTCCCCAGGACTTGTGGGTTCCAAAAAACATCAACGCGTTCTCCAAGAACTGTGTTGTCCCAAAATTTAAGGATTTACACGGTATCAACCCATAGCAATCAATGTTTTGATTGGACATGTTTCCCAACAAAACCATGCATGGTTTGACCCTTTTTAAAGGGACAAGAAAACCCTGGCTGCCTTTACCCGGGCAAGCAGTCCCTGCCCCAAGTGTCCTTGAGCCCATTTTGAGCCCTGGAGGATGAAGCCATCAGCATCCTCGTTGAAGCAATGGGCTTTGACACCAAGGACATTGTGCTGGGAGTCTGAATGGTTGGTTTCTTTTTAAGGGACATGCCATTGTTGGTTTTCTTCAACTTTCTTGTCATGGAAACGATCCATAATCGGCCCCGGTGCTTGAGATCGCACATGAAATATCTTGGCAGGGCTGTTGACTGCCTAATGCAAGGGCGCACACCTAGCTCAAGTCCATGCCAGGAAAAAATACTTGCCACTTACATGGTTTATGCTTGGCAGCCCGTCTGATATGCATGCACGGTTCATTATTTAAATCACAAATTCACAAGCATATAGAATGCCAATTGGAATCCTTTCCTATACTCCTTCCACGATCCTTTCCTACTCCTTCCACGGATCTTGCCAGGATTGGCGGCCTACGACTTCAAGGCATGAACCTGGTGAAAGCGAAGCTGATGATTCTCAGAACCCTTTGGAGGATGTGTCGCGCACTTTACTTGAAGGGGATGGTGCTACAGAATTCAACCCGGAGTTTGAGCTGAATCAAATCATGGACACTCTCCAACACGAGCTTCCTGAGATGCCTCTCCCTCCACCAGCTGAGCCGCAACGCCTTGCGGACAAGAACAGGTGTGGTTCGCCTGCAGAGGCAACGCAGCCAGTGCCAACACCATGCCGCGCTGAAGCGCCACTGCCAAAAGTTGATCCTATGGACGTACCAATCTTCAAGTCCCAAAAGGCCCACGAGGATGGTATATATCCAATTGAAATGCGTCCACTGCATCCACATATGTCTATATGTGTTTAATTTACCATAATCAAAGAGTGAGTCTTGTTGATCATATCTAGTGGCATTCTCCCTCATACAAAGCAGGTAAACATTTTGCCATGTAGTGCAGTTGGACCATCCCGTTTCAATGTTCGCCTCTGAAGGACCTGGGGCCTCTGACTGTGGAGATTCTGTCAGATGATGAAGGCTCAGAGCTGGCAAGCTCAACCATACCGGACACTGCAACCATGAAGATAATAATGGAAGCGGTCTTGCAACTTCAAAAGTGTTTCGACTGCATGCAGAAACTGAACCATCTCTTTTGTCTCCAAATGCCTGGCAATTAAGGAACACCAGTATATAGAGAATGTGTTCACCTTGGTTGAACCAGTCAAACCAACAAAGCAAAGTCCTTTCTGGAAGCGTCCTTCGTATAGCCAAGGCTAGTATAGCAAATTTCATTTGGGTTCATCACGTTCAATGACGCTGCCGCCCAGGTCGACTCCACCCAAAGAAAGCGCCAGCTCGAGTCCCATCGAGCCTCCGAAAGAAGAAACGAAGGGCATCTTGACTGTGGCCTTTGGCGGGGCGTTCAATGTAGAAGGAACATATATAGGTTCATGCATTGTTGACATTGCGATGGGAATGCATGAACTACAGTGATCAAAAAGGTATGTTGGAGTCGGGTGTGGGTCCATATATAAAAGTTAAAGGAATTGGCTAGCATGTCCAAAAGAGTCATGGTCAGCTGCCCACACCCATGAGGTATGAGCGCTCCACCACATGAGGAAGAGAAAGCTATCCACGTGTTGTCTGACTCCTTGCTCCCTTCAGCTACTGATGTGGAAGGCACCCAGCTTCCATGTTCCCCAAATCAGCTCCTAAACACCGACGCTGCTTTGAAGACCCTCCAGCGAGTGGATGAGCATGACCGAGCGGTGGAAGAAGAGGCCCATCAACGTATTCAGTTCAAACCAAGTTAAATTATGCTGGACAAGTTTACTTTTCCTATAAAGAAGTCAATTTGCAAACATGCTTCCACCTGATTTATTGTTTTACTCATCCTGAAAGGCCAGTTGTCTGCCTGCGCAAAAAGTACAGCCTTGGGCTTTTTAAATATAGTCATGAGATGTCATGAGTCATGCTGCCATGTCTCTTTAGTCTCTTTTACCCATCCAGGTGAAACAATTCGGCATCGAAGCTGTTGAGATCCCGGAGCACGAAGTGATCACACGTCGAAAGCAGTTCCGCATGAAGAAGGACCGGGCACAGGCCAAGCAGGCCAAAAAGGAAAAGAAAAAAGAAGGTGCAGCTGTGGTGGAGGCGAAGAAGGCAGCCAAGAAGGCTGCAAAGGCTGCAAAAGAAAGGTCAGAAGATGAGAAGAAAGGTGGTCGAACTTCTTCTGCGAAACTTCAAGAGCGGACATCCAAGAAGTCCAAGAAGGAGACAACGTCCAAGAAGAAGTGCAAAAAGACAACCCCCAAGCCAGCAGAAGAGCTACTTGATGCATCGGAACCTGTGGCATCTGGCGAGGATGAGCTTGACCCCAACTTCCCTACTCGCGATCCTGAGGAGAGATTCCCTGTGAAGAGCAAGAAGATGAAGCGCCTCCACCACATGAGCGCAAAGAGCAAGGGCCACCATGCAGACATTACCTTGGCTGAGGGTGGCACCAACTCCAAGAAGTTGAAGAAGTCCAAGTCAAAAACCCAGGACACTGGAGAGGAGGTGAATTCGGAGCAAGTCAAGAAGGCATCGAAAGCCAGCAAGGGGAAGGGTCGAGAATCAGTGGAAAAATCTCGGAAGGAAACTTCCAATGAGAGTAAGAAAAGGAAAGCATCGAAGTCCAAGGTCACCAAAACGACCAGAGCCTGCAAGGAGCAGCAGGGTGAGACCAAGAGTGATGGCAAGAAGGCCAAGAGTACTGGCAATGAGGCCAAGGGCAAGGTGAAGGGCAAGAAACAGGAAGCTCGTCGCCGCACCCCAAAGCCAAAGAAGGTGTACGATGTGGATGAGACTGCCAAAGACCTCGCCTTGGAGACCCTGAAGGAGTGCCAGAGCTCTGGGTGCTGTCACCCATCCTTCAAGGCGCCTGACCAGATCACTGGGGTAAGCTACAGCCCCTACTGGACCAGGAAGGCTTTGGGGGTGAAAGTTGACAGGCGCTTCCTCCAGAGCAAGAAAGCCAAAGGATCTGGCCAAGCCCAAATTGCTTACTTTGGATCAGCCAGCCCTTGCACCTATGCTAGTTGGACGGTTGCCGCTTTGTTTGTTTCTAGGTGGCATGCAGCTTGTGGGCTTGCTGGAATAGAGGTATAGGCTCATAG